TATAATATAATATAATATAATATAATATAATATAATATAATATTATATAATACAATATAAACAGGGGTTTTTTGTCAGTTGTCACTGTTTTCTGAAAAAGTTTTCTGAAACTATTTTCTGAATTTTTTTTAAAAAAATGAATCAGTTAGGCGAAACAGAAAGATATAATTGATGTTTCAAAACATTAAGAATGGGTTTTAATTAGCTTCTTTGTTGTATAGCAAGCAGTTTTCAAACAATTTTTTTTGTATTATTGCCGTAAAAAAAGATTTATTTATAGAATGAAATAAAGAGCAAGGATTAGTTTAAAGAAGTCCTTTTTCGGATTTTACTAATTTTATATAGTATTTCGAAAGTCAACATTTTCGTTATTCAAGCATAGACTTTTTGTATAACTAATCTTCTATTTCAAAAAGTTAACTTTCTGAAAGACATTAAACTTTTTTCCAGGGTTAAAAGTATGCTATTGCTATACAAAATATTTATCGTAATAGGGATAATGTTTAATATAGTGCATGTAATTTTGAGTTATGATTCTTTTTTAAAGTCGACGCTATTTGAGAAAACTATACTTTCAATATTTTCTCCTATTTAAAATTAAATTATTTCTCTCATATAATAAAACAAAGTGCAAGAATGTATAATTATATAGTACAATAAGAGATATAATTCTATTTTAATATATGATATTGCATGCACTGAAAAACAAGTATGATCAAACCTACCAGAATACTGTAAAATGTACGATATTTGTAACTCTATGGGAATATCAAAAAGCTCGGTAATTTTTTCTTTTAACTTTCCTCAAGTGAAAGTTAAAAAAAGAAATCTTTTAATTTACACATTTAAAGTCTACTTTTTTGTGTAAAACTGTAAGCTAGTTTATATTTACTTAGGTTGCTTGGCGATTGCAATTTTAAGAAAAGAATCATAGTCCTTGCTACTAGAATATAGTAAAATTTGTCGTGTTTAGCCAATATTTGAAATGCTTGAACTTTAAATAGATGAAATTTAAATATTTTTGCATCATATTAGAAGTTAAGCGAATTTCAAATAATTCAAATAATTTTGAAATGCATAAATACCAATTCTAGTTTGAATACATAATATACTTTGAATTTATTTCAATTTCGAATGTTTGCCTAGCATATTTAAAACGTAACACAGCATATTTTATATTGTAAAATATATATCATATAAATACATATATTGTAAAATCTATTGATAGTTGAAGTATTTCGAATTTTTTTTAATATTTAAAATTTGAATATTCCAGCAGCACATTTTGAAACTTCTGAATTTAGAATATTTGTTTAGCATAATTTGAATTATATCGGTTATTTTAAAATATTTTGTACATTTTAAAATATTGAAATTTTGAATATTAGTATTACAGATTTGAAACATAGCGTAACATTTTGTAAATTATTTGAATGCTTAAAGTGTTAGGATTTTTAATTAGAAATAAGCAATTCTTTGAATTATTTGAAAGCCTAATGTGGAATAGCATATTTAAAAGTTTTTTTTATCTTTGAAATGTTTTGAATTTTTTAAGGATTACTTTGATTGAAATATTTGAAATATTTCGAGTGTTCAAAATATTCGGAATACTTGAGATATTTTAATATTTGAAATATTTTGGATGAATGAGAGAAGGTAATGGGTGTTTTAAATTCTTGAAATTTTTCGATTGTTTGAAATATTTGAAATATGATATGCTTGAAATGAAATACTTGAAATATTATATACTTGAAATGAAATACTTGTAATGCTTTGAATATTTGAAATATTTTGAATGTTTGAAATTGATTGAATATTTGAAATATTTTGAATGTCTGAAAGTGAATGAATACTTAAACTACTTTGATATCTGAAATTGAATATTTGAAATATTTTGCATGTCTGAAATTGAATATTTGAAATATTTTGCATCTAAAATTAAATATTTGAAAGATTTTCAATGTCTGAAATTGAATATTTGAAATATTTTGAATATCTGAAATTGAGTATTTGAAATATTTTGAATGTTGGAAATTAAATATTTGAAATATTTTGAATGTCTGAAATTGAATATTTGAAATATTTCGCAGGTCGGAAATTGAATATTTGAAATATTTTGAATGTCTGAAATTAAATATTTGAAATATTTTGAATGTCTGAAATCGAATATTAGAAATATTTTAAATGTCAAAAATTGAATATTTGAAATATTTTGCAGGTCGGAAATTGAATATTTGAAATATTTTGAATGTCTGAAATTAAATATTTGAAATATTCTGAATGTCTGAAATCGAATATTAGAAATATTTTGAATGTCAGAAATTGAATATTTGAAACATTTTGAATATTTTCCTTGCCTATTTGTAATACAGCATAACGTGTTTTGAAATATTTGAAGGTTCTAAGTGCTTGTCATACACTCTTCCTTCACCCGAGTAGTAAAGTAGCGAGAGAAAATGTCGAAGTTTTCATGGATGTCTGGAAAGCTCTCGACCAAGATGTCACGGCACTTGCGCAAGAAGTGTCCGAACTGTGTCGAAATGCTGCCACCCTTCCGACAAAACCTGACAAAATGACTGTCACTAACTACACTTCCAACCCTTCCAATGAGTTTAATGTAAGTCCAAGAATTTGAACCCCCTCTCTATATTACTGTCATTAATATATGAATGAACGAAAATGGTTTTATAACTAATACTTACAATTATTTTAACGTTTATAGCTGCTATATGAAAGGTATATCATGTGCAGTGTTTTGTAAGGACAAACCTTATCATATGGGCACTTCTAAAGAGATTTAACAATAACTTTAACAGCAGCAAAGTTTGAATTCTACGGATATTTATTTTATAATCTTCATTAGTTATGTAATAAACTTTCCTTTTAAATAAAATTAGCACTATGATAATTTTTTTCATCGAACTTTAGAATATCAGATTATCTTTATGAGAAAAACTATCGACATTGCGTATGTTGAATTGTTCGGATTTTCTTATACTTTATCTATTCCAAAATGCTATTTTGTATTTATGCTACTTGTAGTAGAAATATTTCATAAAAATTTATAAATATTATTTTATTTTAAGATTGTTGAAATAAGTTTGAATTACTTAAATTAATCTATTTTCTGTCAAAATAATAGATTTCATATGTTACTTTTATGAGCAGGCAAAGTAAACACTGAACTATTTTTTTCAGAAAATCTTTCCCCGAGCAATATACAACATATTTATGTATTGCATATTATGTCTAACATATTATGTATGCATTTGGACATATCATATGCTTTTACATATGGACATTAACATATGCTTTAAGTAACTGCAATATTGTTTAAGTTTTGCACTCCTATGTTTCTTTGGAAACATCTAGAAATTGTTTTAATGAAGAATTTTTAGGGTTGCATTGGTTAAGATCATAAATTGCCAAATTCGGACACTTTAGTTGGACAGAAAAAAATAAAAAAATTAAGGTAATTGTAGACAGATTTATAAATTAACTCAACAATTTTTAGCTGTAAGTTACATTTGAAGAAGAACCTACCCACATTTGAGAACTACCCTTATATATATAAAGAATCTTTGTAAAAAAAGTTATGAAAATATACCTTACACTTTTAGAAATTCCTTGGAAGAAAATGATTAAATAACAACATATTTAATAGTTATTTTACCTTATTTAAAAAAAATAATCGAATAACCATAAATAAAATGGTAATCAAGCTGTTAACTGTAAGAAAATCCGTTTATTAGCTGCTTTCATTAAATACGATTAAATAACCAAAGTTTTATCGTTGCAACTAGGCCAATCTAATAAAGTCGCTTAGTTTCTTGCAAATGCGTACACATTATAACCGAGAGGGTGGATCTATCAGTCTCCTGGTCGGCAGAACTGGGGTTCGAATCTTTAACCCAACAGTATTTTCACCATTCCCTTTAACACATTAAGAGTTTCCAGTGTCATGCATTCTCCAAGGCCTGTTACCTAACGAAAAGCTTCTGTCCAGGTAAATGTCTTTCTTACGGTTTTGAAATCATGCTAGTTGTAAATGGCTCAAAAACCGTACAGTTTTGTATAAATGGTTTTATAACCGTACTAGTTTTAAATGGTTTCAAAACTGTAAAGATGAAAATATTTATATCATAATTTTAGAATAAAATTCTAACAGAATATAGCTGTTCCAAATTGCTAGTTCAAAGAAATAAAAACAAAGGCACTCGAGGGATCTCTATTGAAAGTATAAAAAAAATCCATTAAGCCAGTTTCTTTTGACTTTAGCGATCGTATGTCTCTCTCAGTTACCAAAGCTTTTATGTCATTTCGGTTTCATAATTTCAGCAATACAATAATACATGCTTTTCTTTAAGTATAAAGCAATGAAAATGCACATAATTCGTAGGAATATTTTTACAAATTGTGTTGAGTTTAATTGTGCTTTATCTTCTTAAAATAGTATTTTTTTTATCAATACCCAGAATCATTACGCTGGAAAAAAATAAGTTGAATACTACCAGAATAGAGTAAAATTTACCGCGTTTCTTACTCTTTGAAAACACCCTAAAAATAGCTTATTTTTACCAAAGAGCTCTGGCAATGAGTTTGGCAAAATTAGCAATAACATATGGTTTTATAATATGTGAAAAAAATTGTAAATGTGATAAAGTTTGGAAATTTCATCATGATACCTTATAGCATAGCGTAAATTTCATTTATTTGGTTAAATGCAATTTTCTGTTCTGCATTTTTACTAAATGTGTGGTAAAAAGAACTATAATTTTCAATACCAGAATTTCCGGTAAACCATATAAATGAAAAATAACCAAATGAATGGTTTAAATACCATATATTTTGGTTTTATTAAACATAATTATTTTTTTTTACCGGAAATGTCATTACCATAGATAATAGCATGTATTACCAGATAATTAACAATGTTATTTTACCATATTTTCTTTCTTCTTATATTATACACTTTTCTTAAACTTCAAATTATTAAGGATTAAAAGTTGAACTACGGTCTTACCTTGATTACTACACATTTAGCAAATTTATTATTTGACCGAGTAAAAGATTTTTATGCCATGCTTTAAGGTATAATAATAAAATTACCAAATTTTTATCACGCATTAAAAAACTATCTTTTATTGTTCATTTTACCAAAATCATAATTAAAGCGTTTCTTTAAAAATTACAGTGCTTTTTAGTGTTCTCATAGAACCAAAAATACGGTAAATGTTACATATAATGTTTGTTTTAATCATACTTTTTTCTCAGAGAAGCAACCATATTTTACGATTTTACGATTTCGCATACATTTTCGTAACAATTTTGTTTAAATATTTATGTTTTAATTCATATTTTCTACATTTATATCATATTTTCTGTTGTTAACATCAAAAATTTTTTGACGTAAATTATATATTCGAATTGCTTTGGTGATATAGTGAGAGTTCATATATCCATCTATCTGTATTTATATATTTATTGAAAACGATTCGGATGAAAATAATATCAAATTTCCTGTAGGCTGTAAATTGAAAGACAGTTTTGTGTATTGTGCTGCTCTCTAGAGAAAAGTTCTTAAATTTGAAAAGAAACTATCTAAAAACAATATTAAATAGTTTTATGCTAGAATGTCACATTTAAAAAAGTATATGATTTACCAATATATTTTCCCAATTCCTATATTTGTTACATAAAGCACTACAATACCTAGTGCAAGAAAGAGTACTCTATAGTATATCATTCGATTTGTCTGATTTGCAGAGACAAAGTCTCCAACCTGCGAGCAACTCGAACAATCATTCAGCTGCACCCAAAAGTATTGTGACAACCAATCAGTTAACAGTACCAGATCAGCAACCAACAAAGCTTGACGCAGAGGTAATATCAATATTTTCTGTTTTCCTGCAAGTTAAACATTGACATACGTACTTCTCATTTTATTCAGTAATATAAGAAGTGTTTTGACTAAAAATTAGTTAATTGGTAGCTTAGAGTTGCGATTTTTAGTGCTAAATCACAGCCAATTCGACCAACAGTCGAATGTTTTGTAAATTTTTGGCGTTAAAAACAAATGCATACTTAAACATATATACACACATGAATCAAGACTTAAGTTCAAATGACCTTAGTTTTGAGCACATTGGTTCATGGAACTTTTAATAATAATATAGTAACCTTAACTAGTACCTTAAAGAGAGTAGTGTAGTTAACGAACATTACACAGTTCCTGTGCACATACTTCAGACAGTTTAGAAGTAAAAAATTCGTCAGAGAAATATATACATGCGGTTTTAAAGAAGTAAATATTGAAAATATTGCTGTAGGTATGCCAGGAAATATGACATTTCGAAAATAAACATAAATTTTTAAAAATATATGTAATTGTCAAAATTAGTGTAAAATCATTTCAAAAAGCTAACAGTGATGATATTAACTAATCGTTAAAAATTTCATCATTTCACTGAATGATATTATATTTCTAAGGGAGTTTCAGTAAATTGTTGTATTATGTGAGAATCACCCAAATAGCAATCTACAAACTTGTGATTGTTGACAAATATGGAAAGGTAGTAATATGGAAAGGTAACCCCCCCCCCAAATGTGGGTACACGGGTCGCCGCCACAGGCCTCCCCCTCAGGAGAGGAGGGGCGATTCGAGCACCGGACCCAGCGCTGGTCGAGGGGCCCGACGAAGCCCCACCGTGGCATTTATTAAAAGCAAAAAAAGTACATAAAAATCGGGATGGCAACAGGCCATTAACAGAACTTAACATAAAACTGAAATAGGAAATTAAAAGGCTTACAGAGACATTGTTAAAAACCTCCAGAATAATTGTAAATTTTATAAAAATAAGAAAAATAACTTGGGCCCTCATCGGACAAAGATTCATGAATTTTTGGCTTAATAAGAGTTCAAAGGACCGTTATTTTTCCGACATTGGCCATACATAATATTGTCTCATTCTCCCGTTTATTTACAGCCACTTTACAACCAATAGTGGTTCGATGTAAAATTGTCAGATCAACCCGATATTTCATATTCATTATTCAGCTAAAATAGGCTCTATATTGGCCCTATCTAGACCCTTCTAGGACCAATATTAAAACGTCTAGGCATCCCGATATTGATTCTTATAGGATTCATATTGAATCAATTTTGAGCCAAGGTTCGAGTGATCAGTCGCATTTTTTCGTGATTTCTCACTTTCATACGAGCAACTCCTCTTCACTATGTCAAGCTCTTTGTTATCTTGATATAGGTCAAACAGATATTGTGGGATTCTACCAATCTACTCCTGACTAACCTTAATACTTTTAGGATTCGTCCTGAAAATAATTACCATGCGTTGTATTTCACGCTTCATAAAACAGTTTTAATGAAAAGACTACAATAAAATTAGTTTATTTTAGCGAAATGATGAACACGTTGTGAAATAATAAATTGCAATTCCGAAAAAAATAATTTTTATTCACCAAATTCCACCTCAAATACATTTTACATGTATTCCATGCATTGCTCTGCTACAGAATTCAGAATATTTCTGATATTCTTCGATGAAAATTTTTTTATCAGAATCCATAAATCTCCAACGTTTTATGCTTCGGGATTAATTGTGTAGTTTATGTTTACACACATAATTGGAATTACTGCTCACAATAGCAATAAAGTATTTATCTTTTGACTTAAAAATATGTTTATTCCCTAAAAGAAGATTTTGAAATTTATTTTTACTATTCAGGGCGTCAGAAAATTGTCATAAAATCGCATTTTACGATGTTTCAACCCTATAAAAGTTTTGCATTTGAGAATACAAGAAATTTTGTTTTAGAAAAGTACTGGCTGAATACACGTTCATCAAGCAGATTGAAAAAAAACGAGCAAATCAATCAGTACTGGACACTGCAGAATCATGCACTAAACTGAAAGAAATATACTAACGTAACAAATAAAGTTAAAATAATTCCATATTAATTCCATGCATAATTATTTATATTTTGCCCTCCCTGGTAGACATTATAATTAAGCAAAACATATTTTTAGGAGTACATCCCATCAAAATAAAGATTAATTTTATTCAGTATCATTTGGCATGTAGCTATTGCTTGCGGTCAATTCTTTAAATAGTATTTATATTAAAATTACACAGTATTGGCGTAGTTTTAACGGATACCAAATCTACCAAAACTATGCATTGTACCTAAATACGTATATTTGATACCCATTAAACTGCATCAAAAGATTAAAAATGCATATTATTTACGTTTCTCAAAGCTTAATTAGCTGCATTGCACCATTAATTATGCTTTAGTACATAGTGTATATCTTTTGTTTCAATTAATAAATATTACCAAAATTAACTAAGTATCATTGGCATCAAAAATGGTGCATTGATGTTTTACGTTTCTCCTAAACAAATTAGAATAATTTCTCTTTTAATTTTACTTTTTAGAATTTAGCTTTTTTGTTTAAATTAGTATCTATATATTTAAAATAATTCAGCATTATTGGTGTCTGTAAAAGGTTTGCGATTTTTTATGCTTTTCTTAAGCGAATTAGTACCACTTCTCTAACAACTTTACTTTTTAGTTCATAACTTGTTTTTTACTTTAATTAGTAGCTATTGCCAAAACTTGTTAATCATCAGTGGCGTCAATATTTGTAAGGTGAATTTTTACGCACTTCACTTAAATTACTTTGCCCCGATTCTCCATTAATTTTGCTTTTTATTACATACCTTTTTTTTATTTCAACTAGTAAGTATAACTGAAAGCATTAGTGGCGTCAGTAACAGTATGACGATTATTCTCCTAAACGAATTAGTACTATTTTTCCAATAATTTTGGTTTTTAGTTGAAAACCTTTCTCTTTTGTTTCAAATACCGTCTCCTTTAATTTAAATTTAACAAAATAAGAACATGGAATCAGGAAGCTTTAGAAAACTAATTTGTTGACATAATCCATATATATTACGTTGATCATTGGGAAATGATTTAATAAATTTAAAAAAAATTAAACATCAAAGAAAGTTCTATAAACTCCTTTCTTAAATGAGTGCTATAAGCTAGGAAACTTTACTAAAAGTTATCTTTAAAATATTTGAAAGGAAAGCAGAATCGTCTTCATTTCAGTTTTTATCAATTGCTAATCTTAAGCAATTCAGCATTTCTATTTCTTAAATATCTCTCCTGAATATCTCCCCCGAGATTAAATTTCGAATAATTTTTAGTATCGAAGGTTGAATTGCTATTTTCGGCCACTGTCCAAATTCCAGGACGTTAGCATAAACGGTTCTGGAGATATAAAAGAGGCATTCAGAGAAGAACTTTGCATGTCATTATTATTGACATATCAGTTTTTACGATAATTTTAGCAACATTCATACATTTAGCATATTATTCTGTTTTAATTTATATAATTATCTTAAACTTTTTGTATTGATTTAATGAATTAAATTTATGCAAATGGACTTAACTAAAAAAATTACTTTAGTTTCACTATATTTTATTATTTTAGTATCACTTAGCATTGATTCAATCGTAACATTTTAATTTAACATTCACATAATTTAACAACAAATTTAAAATTTGGTGCTTTAGAAAAAAGATGCATTTGAATAATTTAAAAAGTTGTCGAAAGTTCTTTATAAGAATCTTATAAAGAAATCTTAACGCAAATTCTATAATATAAAAACTTAAATAAAACGTTCTTTATACGAACTAAAAAGTTATTTATACGACTCTACAGAAAAGCTTCGTTTAAAAATAATTCTTTAAAATTTTCATCATACGAATTCTCTAAAAAAGATAAATTCTACTCAAAATTTCTTCAGACAAACTTAACAAAAAGTGCTTTAAACTAAACAACTTCCACGAAAAGTTTTCTAGCAAATTTTACAAAAAATTTCTTCGGTCAAACTTTAAAAATGTTTATACAAATTTGACAAAAACGTCTTAGTAGAAAATTTTACAATAAGCTATTTCTATAAATTCTATAAGAACTCTTTATAAGAAATTCCGCAAAAATATACATATATATTTTGATACACATTCTATTTTTTCAGTAAATATCCCTTAGTTAATTATTTAGTTTCAGATTAATGATGTTTTTGTCAAAATGAAATTGACATCATTGCTTAATGTCAATAGCATGGTTTTTAATAATTTATTTCAGGAACAATCGAATATTGCCAAGTTAGGCTTAGAAATGAAACAGCTGACGTCAGAAATGGATGCCGAAACGGACAAATGGCCGACTGCCGATAATGATATTGTAAGAAGAGCGAAAACAATGTCCACAATGGCCTTCTCCATGTACCAATTCACTAGAGGAGAAGGTGAATTAAAAACAACACAAGTGAGGAAGCCTTCTATCGTAGACATGTTTTAGTTCCATTTGAAAATATGATTTATTGATTCGATATTATTCAGGCGATACTGTTTTAGATTACAGGGCTCACGCTAAGCGTTCTTCACCTCGCCGAATGCAATAAAATCGTAAACTTAGCGAATAAAATTGTGTTTTGGCGGAAGTATTGGCGAATGATTTTTTTCCACTGGAAAGAAAAATATGTTACTTTGGAAAACATATTAAAATGGCGAATAATTTTGATATTTGGCTAATACACTGCTTAATAATTTGAAATCCTTAGCACGAGCACTGGATTATAATATATTTAAACAGAGACAAACTTGCCACAATCAAAATATGAGTTTTGAAGTGGTGACCATTTCCTGATAAATAGAATTGTTCTTCAATTGATTTATTCTTTCAATTATGGGATTATTCTTTCTTTGATCCTTTTTATGATATTCAGAAATTTGTCAGTGCTCCAATTATGTTAGTAGAGCCAAGCAAAATTTTCTTGTTATGATTTCTTAACGATAATTGAAGTTTATTAATTTACAAGTTCATTTTGCTTATAATAATAAGTTATAACCATTTTAGGTGTGCATTATGTCCCAAATAAAATACAACCTATGGAAAACGAGGAAATAGCGCGATGGCAAACTATCTGTCGCCAAGGGCACTCAGGAAAGGAGAGGAATTTCATGGTCAATATTTACGTGTTTAAAAATGTGTCGTTGGTTTCCACAGGATGATGCTACTGTCCATAGAGCTGCCTTAACCATACTTGATTTCCAATAGAATGTGACCTTGTCACCACTAGACTTTCTTTCTATAGGGATATTTAAAAAAATTTATGTACGCAAATTGTCTATCATTCCTCGCTGAACTATAGAGGAAAAGTAGAATTGAGATTTAAAAAAAACACAAATATAAGTTAATGTTTTCGATTATTTCAGTGGGCGTTCCAATATTTTTAATTTGTCAATAATTAACAAAGCACGAGAATTCGACATTCCTTGTGGTTTTTGTTCATTGTTCAATAAACATACCTTTTTCTCAGCTTCCCATTGCTTCGTTTTTCTGGGTTGCGTTTTATCTGGGACATACTGTATTTCTACATAATTGCAATATATTGATTATTGATTAACGTATAATTTTAAATATTATTTGCTCATGGTTTTAAATCATGCAAAATAATATACTCATAGTTTGGCTGTGTGTTTTCAAATACTTTGATTTTTAAAATTAATATTTGCGAATATATAATGTATATTGTCTTGTATTGTAATAATATTATTTCTCATACATCAAAAACTTAGTTCATCATAGTTTAAGGGGTGGTTCTTTTGCAACAATATTTATCCTTCTTAATTACATCTTTCTGACTTGATTTATCGCTTAAATCTTGGTCGCGTGGTTAACGAAAATGAAAAATTTAATTATAGGACACAACTAAATTTAAGAGAGAAATTAATAATTTTAAGTTCTTAATCAGCGAAATTAAACCATTCTATTTCGAAAGATGATATTTTCTAATATTATTACTTTAATGCAGTTAAAAAAGACAATTAATTTAATGTAAAGTGAGCAATCTCAATGAAATTCAACCACACTATATGGTATATGAAACTTTTTTCAATCCACGCAAGGTTATGTTGATGGAATTTCATTACATTTTATATTCACTTTTTATCGATGATTATTGTTTTTTATTATTTTAAATTGCAAAGAATTGATTCATAATCTTTGCTTTTTATGAAAAACCTGTATTATTTAGACGCGATAATAAAATGAGATTTTTTTTCTTCAAATTTTCAGGACTTGTTTACGCAAGCGGAGTTTTTTGCAGAAGAAGCAAATAGGTTTTATAAAGTAGTGAGACATTTTTCATATCAGGTAATTACTGGTTTAAATAAATTGAAAAAAAAAACCCTCATAATTTATATTTATTATTTATAAAAGTGTGCCATGCGAATTCATGTTATTAGATATGCATTATGTTTCACCAAAAATATTCGATTATTGTTTTCTTTCAATGTAGTGTGGAAAAAATCACTCCTAAGTTATAAAAGCTTCCTAAGTTTCCAAAGTTTATTGTAGAAGAAGAAATAATGACATCAACTTTTTTGTGTAGAATTGCACCCTCTGGTGTTGCTTTAAAGATTTTAAAATTCATGAAATTATGTATTTCTTGTCTTCAGATTTTCTATTACCTTTTTGAATTTGATAAGATCATGATCTGCAAACTATAACCACTTCAAATTTGTACTTTAATCTACTGTAAATAGCGTAAAAATTATTTATAGAATGTCAAATGAAATGAAGTATGTAAAGCTAACTGTTTTTAAGGCCTTTGTGATACAATTCAGAATGCACTTAAATTGATAATCAATTTAGTCAACCTTAGAAATTGTAGAAACCATTTTCTGTCATTTTAAGTCTTATTTGCTTTATACTGTCTTCCTTACTGCATTGTAAATGGATGTTATGGTAAATAAGTAAATGTTTTTTTATCAATTAAAAGCAATTTAATGCTGTCGTTATTTTCAAACTTTAACGTACAATAAGAGGACAAAATAAGTTTTACATTGTATTTTAATTTTATGCTTACAATTTGTCCTCAATGCCACGATGGGATTCCTAATTATAAAATAAAAAAAGTTATTAAACCCAAATATTTAACAGGTTATAAATTTAGTTTTTTTGTATTTTGTAAATTTGCATAATTTGTGACAACTCTATGCAGCTTTAAAGTAAACTTAGGACAAAATTACGATAAAAACTATTTTTTATTATGTATGAAATGTAAAGCATTAATGTCAAGAACTACAATTGTAACATGAAATACAGAGGTGTTTATAAAATCCTAATCAGCATTTTTGTCACTTGAAAAATATCTGACCGAAAATGGTGTTATATAGAGTAAAAAAAGATGTAATTTATTAGTTACGTCCTTAATATTTGATAAAATAATATCCGATAAATATAAATTACATGGATATTCAGGAAATATAAATTACCTTTCTTGTCACCATATTTCGACCTAATATATGTGTAAAAAATTATGTTGAATAGTTTTTTTATGAATAATTGAACAAATAGTTTATTTCTAAAATATTTGCGTAGTTTACAAAATAAAAGTAAACCTTTTTCATATTTTTGTGAAAAGAAAAAAGTAAACTAAAAAAATACAATATTTACAATGTAACTTATTAATTAGAGCCTTAATAACTCAAGCAAATGTAATTTACATGAATATTAATGAAATCCAAGTTGACAATTTTGTCACTAAAAAAACTTCCAGCTTATATATGTGTTAAAGTTCATGTAGCATATATATTTTATAAATGTACAAATAATTTTTTTCAAAATTTTGTGTTCATAATTTATGAAATAAAAATAGATCCTATTCATATTTTTGTGAGAAATAAAAAGTAAACTAAAAAATATAAGAAAACCATTTTATTACAATTTCATAATTCAAGAACGTATAGTATTATCCTATTATTATAATTTGAAATACTTCATGCTAATGACAAAAATATTTTTTTAACACTGACGTGCATATTGCTGAAATGATTTTCTTCAAATTTTAACTGTCGCAACGTTTTAGTTCTATATGCTCAGAAACCCTATAAAAACCTTTATCTTTCCTCGAATTTATTTTAAATTTTAAAACAACATAATTAAGATTCATGATTTTCTTTATGATTTCATGATGTTATGATTTTCATTAAACAATTTAATGAACTTCAAAGGCCATATTCTCTTTTATAAAAAACAATTATGAAAATTTTTTTATAATATTAAACAAACAATTACAATAAAAAACAATTATTTACTACAATTAATGTTACCAATTGATTTTAAAAATTCAATTACATACATTAATAAATGTCAGTACAATCAATCAGAACAAAGTAGAAATGTATGATATTAAGAAAATGTTTGCTTTGTATTTTAGGTACCAGGTGGTACACATAAAAAAGAAATGCTTGAAAATTTAGACCGTGTTCCGACATTTGTGCAACAACTCCAGTTCACGGTTAAAAACACAACTGTGGGAAAAGCTGCCACATTCACGAAGGTAAAGTATTTATTCTACTAATAATATCTGCTAACAATTCAGGAATTTTAAGGAAAAACGTAATGATACGCAGCTTGAAGAATTTAAAAAAATAGTAACATATATAAACTGCATATTAAAAAGGTGCATTTACTTTCAATATAAAATTGTTTTTTTACAGAAAGATGCAAGAAATTAACACTTTTGACTCGCACTAGCATTTTCTAAAAAGGTCTCCTGTCCCTTGTTGTAGACAATAGGTACACATACACATAAAATGAAAAATTAGGATGATCATGTCTGGCAAAATGATCAGCATAACACAGAAAAAAAATCAAATTACTTAGGCAAGAAGTTTTGTTGGAAAAATAAAACTACTTCCAAATGAAAAAAAAGTGGTAATAAGATATTTTTGTGTATTGTCAGATATTTTCGATGAAAATACAAGAAACTTGTATATATTTGCAAACAAAACTAAGGAGCTTTACTTAAAAATATCACATTTGAATGAAGGTGACTTGTGAAAATATTGTTCCAAGCCTATCAAATCGTTTATTTCTTTAGTTTTTGATAAAAGCACTGCAAAAAAAAAGTTAAGAGCACTTTTAAAAAAATACCGTAACATTTACGGTTTTAAATCGACAGCAGGGTTGGTTGTGCAAAACCGTAAAATTTACGGAGTAATTCCGTAGACTTCATGGTTTTTTACCATAAAAGAACAAGTTTTTTGCAAAAAAAATTAGGAAAAACAATTCCTGAAAAGATTGTTTGTTTATTTTTTTAATCGCAACAAAACACGTTTTTATGATAAAAATAAATCTGTTGTCTCAACAACTTTTCAACATATAGAAACAAGTTTATTCTGTGACAGTTACAAAGTAGATCTATACCCTCTGCAGGCTTGAATATTTCACATCTTTGTAGCTATCAACCATTGCTGGGATTCAAATACGGGTTTGCTTTATTGGGAGGACGCGCGCTCTGTTACCTGAGCTTACGGGGTTCAAGAATTTTATTTTTCGATGAAATAGTGATAGTGAGAATTTAGGTAGGATTAGGAATTATTAATGAATTAGGAATTGTATCAATTTGCAATAAGGTCTAATCTCGATTTTATTTAAACGATATTCGAATCCATTAAATAATTACTAAAAACTTAAGAGCAAGTATCAAAAATAATAGTAAAGTGATTGAAGTTACATTACAGACCGGAAATCTGCAAGGTAGAATTTCAACTGACGGTGCTAATCTCTTTGCAAATAGGGTTAAAAGCCGCTTTGTTTAAATGTCAAAAAAGCGATTTTTAATTTTTAACAGTTAAATATTCGAAAAAATTCCGAATAAACAATAGATATTTAATACAGTGTAACTGTTTTATATATATATATATATATATATATAAATATATATCAGCAACTAAACTTAGACGCAATGTTTTGTGTAAATACATAAAATTTGGCTAAAAATGCCCTATTGTAAAAAATAATTAATTAATTAATAATTTCAATTTCTAAAATATGAAAAAAATTGTACATTAAACTGAAAACTCTTCTCTAATGTAGCGCTTTTAAGTGATATTCAAAAATATAAAATATAAGTTTAGTTTAAAAACATAAAAAAAGATTGATTAAAAATACATTTTGAAATCCAAAAAAGTTATTAATTAAATCTGATAAAAACTATTGCTTTGTACCAGTTATGATGTCTGCGTCGTTCTGCTCTGTCTTACAATATATATGCTATTAGTGTTCATTATACACGAAAAACGTATATCATTTCAAAAGTGTAATTACAATATCGATCTGTTTGATAACATTTGTTAATCAGTATTTGTTTGCCTATAAAGTAGCACAATAATATATTTGAAGTTCATACCCGCCATCAGTATGATTTTTCTCCGAAATAAAAAAATGAATCGAAATATGTATCAGTATTAATGAAAAATGTAATAATAAAAATATTTTAGAGACGCGAAGGATGTTATTCTAAAGAAACCCCGAAACCTTTAAAGGTTTTCCAACATTCAAAAAGAACGTCTTTACACTGAGAAAAAAATATGACCTTAACTACCAAAATATGTTAAAAGTTACCATGTTTCTGACTCTACCATGTTACCATTTTTCTTTATTGCATGCAAATAATAATCTGTTATAATTATATTACTTTAAATGATGTTGATAAGGATGCAAGAGGATAATTCGTAGTTACATTTACTTGAATACAACTTGAACATCCTTGGACTCTAAAAGATATGCAGTGAAGACCAGCGCATCTGTTTTTCTAGTTATTATTGAACCCATGTCAAAATTCGTAATGGTCCCACCTAAACATCATGACATTTTGATGGTTTAGGTTAGTTTGAGTGCGATTTATGATGATCTAATATCATTTGATGGTTACCATCATCCAACCTTTTTCATTATGCTTTCATGGTTTATGATATGACAAAGAAACTTCTATCATTCCATGATGAAAAATGATATTTTAATACTATGATGGTTAACCATCAAGAGAAGTTGGATTCTCATGAACCAACAATTTGTTATGATCCGTGATGGTTCCAACTATACATTTCCATGATGGTTTAATGGGAGTTATTGTTGATTCAGCAGGAATGTACCATCAAAAACATTTGTTTTTTTCATGTCTGCCCATCATAAATCAGAGCGAATTACTACTTTGAGATGATGGTTGTTAATGACCGTCCTAACATTTGATTTGTAAGAAACTATGATGAAAAATTCTGATGGGTCAACAAGAACATACCATCTATTCTTGAAGTGTGCCATCATAAATTTGTCCAAATTCCTACATTGGTTATTTATGTTGGATACTAACAATGGTTATTCAATGGTATACCAGCAAAATATAATGGTTCACGATGGAATTATTAATGGTTACCATCAAGATTATGTTGATCCATCAATGAGAAATTATTAAAAATTTTGACTTGGGAATAGACAGATAAACGTTTTTAAGCATGAAAGGATAGATCCGGCATTAGAGAATGTTGTTTCCTTCATTCCAAACATACGCTTAAGAGGCGTATATGAAGCAGCAATTATTGTGTGTTATTTTATTGAAATATTTTTATTCAAATTTTTATGAATTGACAATGCAATTTAGGCTGCTTAATAATATACAACTATTGATTTAAAATGTCTAATCATTGCAAACAATATTTTAATGGATCATATTTTGCTTTTGATTGAGTATTGCCTCTTAAAGTTTTATAATATGCTTTAAACTGTAAAATATTTAATTTAAAAGTAACTTTTATTTCGATATTGTTCACAATTGGATACTTGATGCATCAGTTATTGATATTAATTACTTTTTTGCAGGTAGACAATGTCATTAAAGAGACCAAAAATCTAATGAATGCCATTTCCAAAGTAGTCACTACATGCTTAGTTTGCGCCACAAAGGTACACTACTTTTATTAATAGTGATGTATACAGTTGTTATAACATACCTCATATTTTTCAATTTCCATATTTTTTTTTCAAAAAATAAACTTAAGTAAATTAAACAATATTTTATTCTTGTTTTAGAAAGATTATTTTGATATGTAAAATTCCGTCCGTAAAGATGTGAGATCTGAGAATCTACATTATATAAAATTTCGGATCAAATTACAATATAAAGTACCAGCACTTTTCATGCGTTCTCTGTAAAATCCATTTTACAGCAAAATCCATTTTTACTGTAAACTATCGTATTGCAATTTTTTTAGCAATGCTTTATTAATTCGAGTGATTCAGGAATTTCACAGCAAATATTACGGTATATCAGTTTTTTTTGTTTGTTTTGTAACATGTTCCGATAAAAATCGATTATAAGATAAAAATAATGGGCACCCTGAGAGCCGGTACTTTTTAACTGGTTTGATAGTTTGGAGGTTATTTGGTATTATATTGAATGTTATATATCTTTATTTGTGACGTAATATATCTAACATTACGAACCCATTTTTAATTACTAGATACTGCACTTAAATAAAGGTATCAATAAGAACGAATTCAGAGCTAGAGCTAGTTGCTGGGTAAAAGAAAATAGTTAAGAATTACACACATTAGCCAGTCCAAAAGGACATAAAATTTGTAAAAATCAGTAAAAATGAAAATTGAAAAAACATTACAATTTTAAAACACTATGTTAAATAAAAAGAAATCGACTGTACAAAGCCATTTACTTGCATAAAATTTCAAGGTATAAAATTATTTGTGGATAAAAGATAGGATAAAGATGTAAAAAGACAAAATTNATTGGCAGTTTTAATTCGAGAATTTTTTCCGTTGCATATCTTGCCTTCTTAATTTATAAAACAAAAAATTTTTAAATTTTCTTTTTTACTAAAGTTTTTACAGAAAAAAATGCAAAATTATGTTACGTGTGTTACTGGGAAATTAGACTATCTTGATTAATCGACTTTCAAACAAGCAAAAAAATTTAGGCCAAATTAAAAAAATACATTAAACAATGATAAAAGAGTAAAATAGTTATATTTATTACTAAAAACTATTTTATTGCTCTTTAATATTTTAAGAACTCCATTGGAATATAACATAACAAAGAAGAGAACTCCTGTTAAAATTCATAGTGTTCCACCTTTTGTTAGAATTCACATAAATATTTTTTGTAATTCAAAAAACTATCTTAATTATTAAAAAATGTACATCTTCTAGATTCCGAAATTGTGTCATTTTTGATTTTACGATAATTTTGAAAATTTAGTCACTCAGGACCACTTTTCATGGAATCGCCCAAAAAGGCAAAATTGATGAAATAACAAGTATAGATAAAATATACCCTAAGATTAAAATCATTAAAATATATTTGTCCAAAAGGAACGTAAATGTTATAAAATTCATTTAAAATTTAAAAATATTTTCAAATCAATATTTAAAAGCGTGTTTTGACGAATACCGAAAAAGTGGTATACAAAATCAAAGGTAAAAGCAAATTGTGTAGAAAAATTAAAAATAAAATCATTTAAAAGTTAAATAATAAACAGTTAAAATCAATATTCTTTCTTTGTGGCAATCTTTATTTGTCACAATAATCTTTATTTGTGACAATAATTTTATTTAATTTTTAATAACTTTGCTACTTAAGCATAAAATAAAAAAAAATTCATTTTCTTAAATTATATTTTTGTTTCGCACACAAATAATGAGAAAGTTCTGTTAAAGAGCATAGACGTGTTTAATTAAGGGAAATATCAAGCATACAACTAATATGCTAGACACCTTATTTATATTCAAATAAACTGGATTTTTCTTAACTTAATTGGATTATACTAATATTAATAAAAGTATCAATCCATAATGCAATATGCCTCATTCTTTCATTTTTTTTTATTGAAATGAGATTAATTCTTTCCTGAAATTCATCTAGTTGCACAATAACATTAGAAACATTGCTAAAAATTCTGAAAAATCATTAGGGTAAAAACAGGTACCTTGAGTGTAGCATCCTTAACGTAAAATCCATTTTTATTGTAAAATTAAAACTTGATTCCGTAATTTTTACAGTAATATATTTATTTAATTACATCGAGTCATTGAATTTTCAGTAAGTATTAGGATGTAAAAATGACGGTATGCGGAATCTTTTGTCCAGCAATGTTTTACGGTAGATATGGATTTTACAGTAAAAAGTACCGATAATCAAAATGCCTGTACTTTTTAACATAATTTTTACAGAAACATAATTTACAGAATTTTTTACAGTTTAACCACCAGTTAACCCCCCAAAGGTGTAAATAAAGGTGTAAACACACAAATTATTTGGATGAAAAATTCATGAAAAAAATATAAAGGAAACGCGAATATTTAATATATTAATTTTCTTCTGAAATACAAACCAAATTTCACACATGAACATAATAACTGTGAAAGAAGTTCCTAAATTTTTAGATTGTTAATCATATTTTACTTTTGACAATGACATAGAAACAGAGTTGAGAGAAGAGAAATGTATATATTCTTCCCTGTTTCATGAAATATCTAAAACGATTTTATAGTAAGATAGTTATTAAAGGTTCAGAAATATTGAAAAAAATTGCAAATGGTATTAGAAATTTGAGTGTTCGTAAAAATTTTAGCATTTGATTTAGAAAAATTTTGGTATTAGTAGGAACACTTTAAATATTTTGAAGTAAAAAAATTGAAAAAGAAAACATAGAGATAATAAAAATATCGCACGTATCTCTGTTATTCTTAAAAAAATATAAATAACATTAGAAGTTAAAACTTTTGAGAAAGTGTTGCTCGTGTAGAAAACAGTAAAAATATTTTTATATTTCTAAATAAAAAAATCTATCAGTTTTGTAACACGAACTTTTGTTATGAGTTATAAAGCTATAAATGAAAACACATAAAACATTACTCATTTAGGAAAAATGTTTATGCATTTTCATTCATAATATCTAAACATACTTTTTTTCATAAAAATTAAATTAAAAGAAATAAAAACTTCATAATTTAAAAAAAAGCTTTAACATTTTTTTTTGTTTTATTTAAAATAAGTGACATACTTTTTCTAAATTCTGAGATTAATGCTTCATGACAAAATTTAAATGCAAAACTCGATTCTCTAATGTTCCAAGCAACCTCAGGCCATAAAGCAGAGAACATATTAAAAATGTTTTTTATGGAAGTTAAAATCTAAACGATCGACTTAATGGAGAAAAGGTCGTAAATTTGTTTGAGAAAAAAAAATGCTGAGATAAATGTGAAATTATGTTCTTTCAAACAGCGAAAGAAGGTGTAAAACTTAATTCACCGAAAACTAATTCTGTTCGTTACAGAAGATTAAAACGAAATACCGGTAAAAGTAATAAAAAAGCATTTAAAAATATTTTTAAAAAATTGAACATTATGAACCGAATTCTAATATAATTCTAAAATTATCTAAATTCATAATAAATAAAATTAGTCTTAGAAATTCTTCTTCCTAAAAATCATTTTAAAAGGAAAAATATGGATATACATTTAAATAATTCGTTTGAAGCTGTGAACACCGTGCTTTTCTATGTATTTTTTTTAAAAAAAAATAGAGAACAAAAAATTTTGTATTTTATTATATCCATAAGCAATATGAAATAAATGTTAATTACATTCATAAATTTAAGTGACAAGAAATGCCTGCTTTACGCTTCAAATTTGAAAAAACTGTAATAAAATTGTAATTGTAAAAAATGCATGCATTTTAAGAAAAACAGGTTTGAAACTCATAGTATTGGACAGTTCATCCAATAATAAAACATTCAAACTAAGCAAGAAAATCGTAGCTTTGAAAATAAACAGGCTAAAAACAACTACTTATACAAAATGAATGATCCCCAGAAATTAAATCGGAAAGATATAATAAATAATAGGAAAAGATATACTAGAATCATTCGCTTCGAAATTTATAAAGGCGGAAAAAGTCGGCATTGTTCGAGCGGCGCTCGAAAGTAGGCAACCATTCTCAAAAATGAGGAAAACAAAACAGATTTGAAACAGATAATGTACAGTGGCCAACGTTAAAATGAAAAATAAATAAATGTAAAAAACAGAATTAGAATAACTGCGGTAACCGAGAGTGAATCTAAAGTGTAAAGTAGTCAACGAAAACAGGTCTAGTTTTGTTTTACATCTTTATTTTCCATTTCTTCGTTAACAACTCTGCATTTTCTGTTTCAAATCTCTATTGTTTTCTTCACTCCTCACGTTAAGTCTTAAGAGTGTGTCAACTTTCCCACCTTGTTAATTTTATAAGCAGTTGTGATGACACATGATAGCACAGATGTGGCACATACATTTCATATCTGTGAAGTTGAATCTGTGAAATCAGATCTTAATATCAATCTCTGTGAAATCAGATCTCTATAGTTCTCAAACAACTAAAACAACTGACTACATTTAACATGCAACACTTAGTTCCGCCTTTTTTGTCATTTCTTGTTTAAAAAATACACAGATTATTTAAACACAAACTGTATAATATTCCAAAGTCAAACTAAAATGTAAGGGGAGTTCATGAAATTAGAGTAAAATATAAAATAAAAAAATAACTGAAAATTCTAAAGAAAAAAAATTACAAAAATAAAACTACTTAAAGATAAATAAATAAAAATTCAGTTTTTATCTTTGACCCACCATGCTGCAAAAAATTCACTACTTTTTACTGACTTTCTTCGTTTATTTGACGGTTCAGAGCTATCTTCAACGAAATAGTTTTTAACCCTAATCATAAATGGACTATTATTGCTGTTAATTTCAATTCTAGTTTTTACCATACAGTTTAAACTAGCAACACCAGCAAACAGCTTTTTTTTCTGTAAATTTAGGAGATTTTCTTTTACAGCATAAGAAAATATTTTTCTAAGTTGAGTAGAAAAGACAATGGCGTCTTTTTAAGTAGAGCTAGAAGCACGAAAAAAAAAACATTTGTAAGTAGAGTAAGATAGGCAGATCATTGTGAGTAGAATAAAGGAGATATAGATGTCCTTTTAGTAGAGTCAGTGAGGCAAGAGAGTTCTTGTAAGTAGAGTAAAGGGATGTCCTTTTAGTAGAGTTAGTGAGGCAAGAGAGCTCTTGTGAGTAGAGTAAAAAGGACTTCACTATTTCCCACAAACATTATTCTGTATGGACCCGTAGTGAACTGATCGTAAAGGCATGATTCCCAGTAGAACACCGAAGTCAAGCATCATTGGCTATGGTCAGCAAGCGAGAGGACGACCACTTTGATTGGCTTACGTAGGGACCGCGGGTGCGCAGTATCGGTCCTCGTTATACTGTTCTACCGTAAAGTACTCGACTTCGCGTGCAGGTCGTCGGGCAACCAAAGCAAGGGAGCCACCCTCTCTGCAGAGAATCAAAACTTCGATGGTATGTCTTCTGATCATCTGGGATGTTTCCCAATCCTTCGCCAATAGTCCATTGTGCAGCTCTTGTGTGACGTAAATTAAATGCCTACCTACCTTATTTTGTCTGTCAGGGACTCCCTTATATGTCCAAAATGATTCTTATTTATAACTTTACAAGTCAAATTAAAGTTGCTGTGTGATATTATATTATATTATATTATATTATATTATATTATAATTCTCTTTTCATTTTTCTTTTCAGTACAATTTGGATTTCGGGTCGGCTTCCGACCGCTCCCGCCTGATGTCGCCTTATAATCGGGGAGAGGGCGGCGGGGAGGACTATGGAGACGGGGGTTTGCCTCCCAAGGGACTACAGAGCTCCTCCGATCCGAACATTTGACAATTAGGGAACGGCTCCCGGAGAGCCACCAGCGAGCCCAGGAGGACCACCAGGGTCTCATTCCTCACACTGCTCGGCTCAAAGCGAAGAGATAACTAAATCGGAAGAGCACTTCCCCCCTCCTAGGGTGACCTCCTTCTACCTGGTCTTTTGTTGCAGAGTGTTGCAGAATTTCCCCTATAGCTTTTGCAGAGCAGAATCCATAAATCAACTTATTTTTTAAAAAAGTTGTAAAGTTTATTCGTTATTTAAATATTATGGATTGCATGAATATTTTCAACACAAAATTCAATTTATGTCTTATTTTTTGTAAGCATAAACTTTTATCGAAGCATAATGTTTCATGATCACAGCGATTAGCATATAAATTTAAAATATTTGTCAAAAATGAAATAAAATCACTGCTTATGCTTTAGAGGTCACAAGCTCAAGCAAAAGAAAAGATAGTCTATCAAATTTTAACGAATTCCTCGTGCGGAATTCCGGCTTAAAAATATTTAAAAAAAATTTATTGCAAAAAAAAAAATGAAAGAAATTCGGTGGCGAAACTATTACATCTCTTCGTTTAACAAGAAAAAACTGGTTTTGAAGTTTTGACTCCTGCCTTCCTTGTTAGTGATTCGATAAATTTCAATAACACTTCTTTTTTTAAGGATCATCTTGCGACCACTATTGTGTATACATTTTTGACTTCGTTTTTCTGAATGAATTCAGAAACTTTGCATTAAGGATGGTGGATGCGGAATACTCTATATAATCTGTTTTCAGTGAGAGTAATAGATATTCTCTTGATAAGAAGCACTTTTGGCGATTTTGGAAACGATTGACCATTTGAAGGAGTTAAACTAGTTATAAGTAAATATTTTGTTTCAAAAGTGAGCTACCATTTTAAACCTAAGATTGTTTTTCAAATTAATTGTAAAAAGTTCCGAAAATATAATTTTAAGAATAAAAATAATTAATGCAATTTTTTTTTTTTTTTTTTTTTTTTTTTTTGTGTGTTTTTAAATATTATGGATTCTGCTCAAATGATCTTTACATAAACTAGACATTACCTTAGACTGTGCCACGTGAGGGTCAAATATGATAATATGATGTAGGTGTAGTCTTTTTTTTTTTTTTAGTGATAGCACCGTGAGTAAAATTTGTACAAATGAATTGCTATGGTGCTGCCATCTTCTGTTCATAAGTTGAACCGCGCGTAAGGCACTCAGTGACCAAAACCCTACCTTCATTCAAATATGCTTATTAAGAAGGCAGAAAAAATACTAATTATTAATAAGTTAATGAGTAAATATTTAACCAATTTCAAAATTAAAGTTTAGAGAAAAAGAATTATTGTTTATTGAAAATAACAAAATTCATACAAGAGATAAGGAGAGATAACACAAGAAGAATTATATAAAAGAATTATCTGGTATATGCAGCAAAAATTAATGCTTAAAATAACAAATAAAATTAAAAAATAGTGTTTTTTTTATTATGAGTAATTTTGAAAAAAAATTGCTATTTATAATTCAAATTTTTGATAAAAATTTATTTTACTATCTGAAACTGTTAAATAATGGTAATATAACGGTTAATGATTATAATTCTAATAATAATATAATATTAGTAATAATGATAAGAATGTTTATAATAATAATAATAAGATTAACAGTAACAATAAAGATAAACTGTTAAATGGTAATAATGATAATGACATAAAAAAATTATTATGAAAAAACAATTTAACAAAGCTTTTTGCATAATTAAAAACCATTACAAATTGTCATAATTCGTATTCAAATAAAACTAAGAATTAAAATAAAAAACCGCAGGTTTCTTTAATGAGCGATTTCAAAATTTAATACAATGAAAACAAAAAGCGGTGTTATAGACAGTAGTATTACTAATTTAAATTTAAATTTTTAACTGTTAACGAGACAATATTAATTGCTTTCTTTCAGAGGTTACTTAGTTTAGCAAATAGCATACCGTCATATTCGGTTGTAAATAATTGTTAATATAGTTTTAAGCATGGAGCGTTCAATTATTAAGCAGAATTTTTCAACAATTCTTTATACATTTACGAAGCAGGGGTGCCATCCCCTCTGCAGAGGATCAAAATTGTGATGGCATGTCTTTGGATCACCCTCAGGGGTGTTTCCCAGACCGTCGCCAATAGCCCATCGTGCAGCTTTAGTGCGACGTAAATTAACTATAACTATAACTTTATACATTTACAAGTTCGCACAAATTAAAAGTTTGCAACTTGTCTTTCCATCTGATGTATTTTAAACACATTAACTATGATATTTAAAAGTGAAACTATTTGACTAATTTTTGCTTTTTGTCAGTATATCAGACAACTTCTCAATGAAAATGTCTTTCTTGCTAAAAAAAGAAAAAGAGTTCTTTTCTGCAAAAAATATATGTTTTAAAATTTTGTGTTTAAAAAAATAATTCCCTAATAGTATTTAAAATATTTTACGTAATTTTGATTTGACTTTTTCAAAGTAAATAAAAAGAAGTTGCTTTTAGCAAACAACTTTAGATTTAAAGTTTTTTTTTTAAATTAAAATTTAATCTTGCAATGTAAAAAGTTTTCAATAAATAAAGTTCAATCCTATCGGCAAAAATCCTATCAGCAATTGAACACTCTATGTAATACTTGACATATCATTTCTCAAATATAATTATTATCAAATTTACTTCAGTGCATATTTAATAATTGCATGTAAACTATGAACACAAATTTTCTTTTCTCACTGCAACACTCTGCCTCACCGAGTGATTTAATCAGTAGCTTCAATCACATGATTTTATAGCTTTTATTCGTTTGTACAAACTTAAATTTGTCATACAGCTTTGAATGTAGTCAGTGTTAGTGTTATTTGCACCCAATATAAATTGAACACAGATCTCAGTCAGTTTTGTGATGATTTTTATTGTTATTTTTTAATAAAAATATTGAATATTTGAATTATTTAAAGAGGATTTTTTACAGCTCATAAATATATGGAAATATTTTGTAATATAACTTGTTACATGAAATACAGAGATATTAATATTTTAGCTATGTGATAAAAACCTAATCAGTCATACACACACACATATATATATTGGTGCTAAACTATTGTTACGTCCTTTCCGTGAAGCTACTGATTAAATTGCTGAAACATGTGCTGCTTTAAGGAAGGTGCATTGTTTTTCAATCATGTTCGGACTTATTGGCGTGGAATTACTGTCATATTTTAAGCTAAGTCAGGAAACGATATGGAATAAAATTTAAATTTAAATAAAGAAAAATAATTTCTGAAATCTATGCGCCTTCTGAGCGAATGAACCCTAAATTGCAATCATTTCTCTAAATTAGAATAGCAACGCTGGTTGAAATGAGCTCATATTGTAATGTGAGTATGCCACTAAATTTGATTTTCTGTTAACATAAGAACACTTTTCTAAGATATTTGACTTAATATTCCACATTTTATTTAAATAATTTTTCAATCCGCTTCCATCTTTGGCTTTCATTTATGTTTAAAAACTTTTTTTTTAATGCGTTCCACAAATATTACAAAAAATCGTTTGCTAAAAATATAGCTAATTTCATTTGATTTATCACATCGTTTTTATAATGAATTTATTTTTAATCTAAATTTGCAATCATTTGCTGTTTGACAATTGTTGATTATGAAAAAGTTCACGTTGTATTTAATGATCATACATATTTTAGCTGAAATTTTTATTACAATAATATTTAAAGAGCAATTTTCATGAACTCAATGGTGATTATTGCGAACATAACTTTAACTTCATGTTATATTCTAGTATTATTCATTTTCCACTTTATTACATTTATTGTACCATATATAAAAATCGTTTCAGCAAATAATATGTTATTCGGCATATTTTACTTTAGCTTATTTCTCATTTTTCATATCACACTATTGCTGCTTATTTTATAAATGTTTTATTTATCATATTTTTTTTTTATGCGACAGAAAATATCGTTTTCAAAATTTCATTTTTTAAATTTGTCTAATTGGGTATAATATAAAAAAAACACAACTACTTCCACTTAGTAGGAATAACATTTACCATGACGCAATGCTAAATTCTATGCCACTATCCACATAAATCAATTATTAATTAAAAATTGAATATCAATTACTTTTCTTTATAATGCAATAAAATCTGGCGAGCAGCTATTTAAACGATCAAACACTTCGTTTGTTTATTTGTGGCTTGAAGTTAGGCTCGCAGAAAATGCCGTTCATGGGTTAAATTTAGTAGGAATAACACAACCTGTGACGTAGGCTATAGTGTACCCAATTGTTTGGAGAAAACGATAATAGAATCAATCTTTTATTTAAAAATGTTTGCTTCAAAATGTATTTAAATTGGAATTATAACATAACTATAAATTCTGAATGTTAAAAGTATCTCAATTCAGCGATAAATTTCTAACTGATTTCTCTAATTCATAATTCAATTAAATTATAAATTCCCTTTAATGCATACATCATATTACAATAAAGCTTTCAGCCTATCAATCCTTGTTCCTGTGATACTGCTTGTTGGGCTGCGGTGGTTCTCTGTGGGTACGATTTCACTCTTTTTTAAATAAACATCTTTATATGTCTCTTTACTATTGTGTGTCTGCTCAGGAAATATATAAATCTAAGAAAGTTAAAGATAAACCATATCATAATTTAAATATGAAATGTGTAACTTTAATTCATTTTCTTTTTAGTACAATGATATGTAATACAGTAAGTTGTGAAAAAAAACCCATTCATTTTATATGTATTAGCTGATAATAATAATTATTATATCTGTTTTCTTTTATTATATCTGTTTTCTTTTATTATATTTGTTTTCTTTTATTATTTCTGTTACAAATACATTATTTTTAATCACTACATATATTTATCATATTGTGCAGAATTATTTGACGTATATGAAATGAGAGGTATGATAAAAGAAATTCATATGTTATACAGAAATTTATTCTCAATAATACAAGTCTATGTTGCTTATAATTAGATTTTAATGTTTAATTATGCACTGTTAAATGCAATCTATTTAGGATTCACTGTTAATTTTTTTAAAAATTTTTCATCTTACATGACATAATTTTTAAAAAAAGCATTTCAGGCTTTTGTAACATTTAGGGAACTTTTCGTTTTCATCGCTTTACAAAATTGAAATTTACTTAAATTTAAAGAAATGTTTATAAAAATTTATTAGTTTTCTTTAAAAAATTATATACATATATATTTTAAAAAAAGATTTATTAAAATGTATGAAATCAAGGGCTCAAACCCTATTGGAAAGTCCTTGATTGATGACTGTTTTAATATAATCTTTATTAAAATAAACTTGTAAATTTTAAAATTTACTGGATATTGAACAGAAAAAATGTGGAATTACGTAAATAATCATGTATTCATCATTTCAAATGATTTAAACCTAAATATAATGTAAGAGCATTACATTCTTAAAGATAGATTTCTTTTATTTTGATTCATTTTTTTAAACACTCTAGCATTAAAAGAAACGTTTTTTTTCTTGTATGCGAGATAATAATTAGTGCAGTTTTGTATAATGATTGAACCGGATGGAAACAATTTGTTTGGATGGCTCTGGTCTGGGATAGACTGCCATCTGAAAGAAGAAGCATACTAGTTTTTTGTCTCTCATTTTAATAATATAAAATATATTTTAAAAAAGATGAAAATGTACTTCTAATTCAATCATTATTTATTTAATAAAAATATTAATATAAGCTATTTATTTAGTTTTCAAACTATTGTTAAAAATGATAATAAAACTTAATTTTATTAATGCTAAATATTTATTAATTATTGAGAACTAGTTTAATATAACAGTAACGATAAACATCAGCATTATATAGCGAAATTTAATTACATATATCCACAACTTTTTTTAAAGAGGCAGTTCTCTTTTTTAATTTTTTGCACTAG